AGGAACTTGAAGAGATCGACGCTCTATGTCGTCGCTCTCCGCCTCCTGCTCAAGCTCAGCAGCTGCCGTTGCCCGTGGCGAGAACGCGCTGCCCCTCCTTGCCTTCTTGCTCTCTCCTTGCACGCGAGTCCAGCGCTTGCTCTGCAGCCACTTCCCCAGCTTCTCCTTGAGAACGTTGCGCCCCACTCCCTGCTCCTCTGGCGTCTTCGCCCACTCTCCCGAGTCCCAGCGACATGAACTCCAGACTCCCCCGAGAGTAGAAGGTGTCGTGGAGATTGCCAACGGCCTTGTCCAGGACCAGCTTGATCGGCTCGCTCGTCCCCGCCTCGTTCAAAGAAGCTGCATCTTCGATGACTGCTGACAGCTCGCTGACGAGCTGCATGTCCTCTTGGCTTGACGGAGATGCTGCCTCCATTGTGATCCTCTCCAGGTCTGCTGCGCCTTCGAGATAGAAGGGCATGCTATCAGTGTTTAGCTTGCAGGCTTGAACACTGACGATGCAGACGGCGCAGTCACTGTCGCGCCGGCCCGGGCGGCCGGCGGGCTGAAGTCGAGTTGACTGAAAAAAACAAAAAAAAAAGTCTCGCAACAAACTTTTCCCGCGCTCTTTCAGTGCCACAAACCTTGAACATGCGCGCATGCTCGACCTCGCACTTGATATCCCCTGTCGCATGCTTGTATCTGAGAAATTGAATGAAAACATATGTTTTTCTAACTTTGATATATCCTGATCTGCCAGCAGAAGACATCTGAGTCGAAAATTCTTTATTCAAATGAAAGCTCAATCGCACCCAGGTAATGATTTCTGATCACCGACATTGTTTTCACCTGTTTCATTCCTGGCAGTCTTGGAAAGAAAGATTTTTGTTGGAGGACTTGCACCCGACGTGACTGAAAAAGAACTACACGACCATTTCTCTGTACTGCAAGATTCTGTATTTTGCAAATTCTGAGTTTTCCATCAACAAAAGGCATTCGGAGAGGTTGAAAAGGCTTGGATCAAAACAATCTTTCGAAGTGCAGACATCATTCATTGATTCTCTATCTTAGCTTTGTTTGTTTGGTAGATAACAAATGGAGCTCGAGAGGGTTTGGATTCGTAGTGTTTGAGAAATCGGATACCGCAAAACACGTCGTTACTGTGACGCACGAGATAAATCATAAAGTCTGCGAAGCCAAGGAATTTTTCAAAATATCAAATCAATTCAATCCTCATTTTTGAGTTAGGTTGCTGTCCCATATCCAAGCCCTTCTTCAAAACAAGAAAATACCATTGAAGAATCACATGGCAGCCGTTCCCTGGATTCTTGCAAGGCATTTGTTTTCTGGAAATATGGCAAGTTCAACTCTTTGGAACTTTTCGAATACGCAAATGTTTGCTTTCTTCTTCAATCAAAACCATCATCTCACTATTTTTACAGAAGATTTGGGGAAGCAATGTGAGATGGGCCGAAGTTTTGAAAAATCCAGAAACAAAACGTTATCGAAGGTAAGGCATTTAATGAAGTTGTTCGGTGGCTCACGATTGAAAAGATGTGGCTTCATCACGTTTCGATCTGAAGTTCTTGCAAGAGAAGCTATGGGGCAAAGAGTGAATAAGCTTGAAGGTAAAAGTGATTATGTCGGAACTCTATGAATCTGCGAACAGGCATGCCAGAGCTGACGCTGAAAGAAGCTTTTGAGAGGTCCTTCACCACGTTTAGGGACGTTGACGAGAACAGATCAGCAACTTCCAGTTTTGTGTGTCAAGAGGAGGAGTATTCGACTGATGAACAATCTTGCGAATCATGCTGCTCGCAATCTTCGAAGGAATGCCAGCGAAAGAATACGGAAGACAATGCAAAAACTCAGAAAGAGGAAAACCACAAAGAGGACGGAAGGTATTTTCAATTTCTTTCGAATATCTCTGAATTGTGCTCAACTTTGGTCAACAGCTCAGACGATTCAACATATTCTGCTGGATCTTGGTAATGCTCTCTCAACCTTGCCAAATTGATTTGATGATCGCAGCGGAATTAGTTTTTCTGGATCGCTCCAAGGCCTAAACGGTTGTGGACGATTCGAACCTCTTTATTCTGAGACATCCCCTGCCCAAGACTGGACGCCAAATCGAGCTGTATCCATGTTTCCTCAGCATTATTTCATAGCACTTGTTCCACCGTATCAGGGTGCATCGCCTATCATGCCTGACCGATCAATGCTGGCACATTCAATGCCCCTTCCATGCATGCTCTATAGCCCACCTGCGCAGCCATTTGGTGCTTGGAGTATGCAAGATACAGGAACAGGATTATTCAACTTTGGAGATTCATCATTTGAAAGACCTTCATGTAAAAATTTGCATTTCTGGAAAAAATATGTTGACTTTGTGAATCCAGTTTAAAATACGTTGAGCGACATCTATCGAATGAAATGCCGTTGTGCATTGTGAGTTCTCTGATGAGTGTGAGAACAAATTTCTTTACAAATAGTAAATTCTAAGGGACTGAACGGGTTTAGGGTTTATGGGGAACGGGAAAATTTCTTAAGCAACAAAAGAATAGGCGTGAGTGTCGATCAAATATTCGACAGAAAGCAAACCAACGCAGCCAAAGCTTGCAAGTGGTGTGAGAGAAGGAGCCTGGTGGATGTTAGAGAAAGGGGGCTTACCAGTGATGAAGCAGTTGGAGTTCCGCGGAGATAAGGGAGTCAACACACGAAAGAGACGACACATTTGAAGCTTGGTTTCGTCAAGGATGTAGCAGCAGGATCCATTGGATTGCACTGACAAATGATACTGTTTTGACTTTTTTGTAGTTGACTGAAATGTATCACACTGCACCTGCCGCATGGCTTTACCTCGTATGCCGCAAGGAGACTTGCGAGGGGTTGCAAGCAAGAAAGAGACACCACAAGTCAACCGTTTCGATAGCGACGACGAGGAGGATGTACCTGGAACTAGGCCTAGCAGCTTCCAAGACTCTTCTCTACCGCTCATCTATGCCGATAGCAAGCCTCGCAAACTCATCGGAACAACGGTAACTGCTTCGTTTGCTGATTGAACATGCTCCGTGTGCTGATTGATCATACTCCGTGTGCTGATTGAACATGCTCCGTGTGCTGCTTGAACATGCTTTCCAACGTTACTTGTCAGATACATGCGGCTGCGCGGCGGAATAGGTTGGACATTCTGCAGGAACTTATCCTGATAGGCCGGGCAGATATCAATGCGAAGGATGCACAAGAGATGACATCAGTATGTCGCAATCTTTGTGGCCTCGGTTCCTATTGACCGTTTCGTCGCAGCTTCATTACGCATCAAAGCGCGGGAACGATGCTATCGTTGAATTTCTAATCAACAACCGAGCAAACCTCAATATTCAGAATCAGGTTGAGAGCATTCTTTGTTGCACAGATAAATAACTTGCATGCCTGTGTCAGACTGGATGGACCGCTCTTTCTATAGCCATCCAAAATCGACGACAGTCAGTGGCCAAGATGCTTCTTAAAGGCCATGCGGATCCCTGCACTGCGTCCTCCGGCAACATCACTCCATTGCATCGAGCAGCTGCGTTGGGGGAAGAGGAGCTAGCAAACATGTTAGTTCGTGCAGGAGCTTCATTCCTATGCTGTGACTCCCTTCGTCGGGACACTCCTGTCCACTATGCTGCAAACCAAGGGCATACGTCCATCATTCAATTCTTCGTAGGAGAAAGCAGGTGAAGAGAGATGATGTCACTGTATATGATAACAAATCCAGTTCAGAAGATGGCTAGACATGGTCAATGACTGGGGACAGACCCTGCTACATGTTGCTGCTGAATCGGGGCAAGTTTTGTTTCTATACAAATCAGCATGTTTGACTTCAGTTTGGCTCTAGTTTTATTGATATCGTTGAGTATGCCCTTCGATTCGGGTCCACAGACTCTTGGAGAAGGAAACCAAAACATGAGTTTTGAAGAGATCGTAATTTTTCTTTTAGAGAGTTTGTGAATAGGAAAGACAAAAGGGACGGAGACTCTGCACTGCATCTTGCTGTAAAAAGCCAAAACATTGAGGTTTGTGAAAGCTAAATGAAGCCAAAACATACCTGATCATCCTCAAAGGTGGTGAAAGTCTTGGCAAACTCTGTGGTAAGAAATCATGGAAGCGATACCTGTTCTTGATCTCTCATTGCCACTTTAGTTCTGTGACATCAATCAGCTCAACGATCTCGATCAAGCTCCTCTTCATCTGTCGGTCGCTCTTGGAGATCGTCAAATTCAACGAGTTCTTGTTCTTGCAGGTGGTCTCTAACATCTTGTTTCTTGTCTCACACAAAACAGGAGCAAACACAAGGACAGCAGACACTGATCTCAAGCTCCCAACTCAGGTCAGAGAGCTTTTTCTTCATTCTATTGTTTGTTGACCTAAGCTAAAGCTGATCATTACCACTGGTGCCTCGCGAGTCTTGAAAGCTCCAGATCCGGTTCGAAGTACCGCGGCCCTCAAAGGGTTGACCCGCTTTGTTTTCTTATTTCTCATGACAAGAGGCTTAGAATAACATGGGAAAGTGAACTAAGAAAGCACCGGATCTCTGGCAGGGCCACGAGACTGGTGGAAGAGCAGAGGCAGCTAGAGGCTGCTCGCGTTCGAAGAGAGCACGAGCAGATGGAAATGGAGCTCACTAGGCGGGTCTTGCGGACCCACGAGAAAGCGCTTGACGAAGAGCGAAATGAGCTTGCTCGTCGCCTGCGCCAAGAAACAGCCGCAAACAAGATTTCAAAAATGTTCCGTCAGTTTCTCGTGGCGAGGCAGGAGAAGAAGAGGCAGCAGGCAATCGAGCGAAAGCGTGCACAGAAAGAGGCTGCCAGGCGACGAGAAGAAAGAGAGAAAGCAAAAGATGTATGGCCATTAGCTTTACAACTTGCAATGCTGCTCTTGACCAAATTGTTAGGAATTGGCAAGATTACAAATAAGAAGGAATGACGACGGAGTAGGGGAGTGAAGGGAAATCTGAGGTGTAAGCAAGATCAAAGCCGAGGTTTGAGAAGGCTTTGAGAAGCAAAGCGACTACTGAGAGGTGTTAGCTCTCCTCTGAGGTTCTGCAGCATTGCGCGAGAAACCTGCGTTGAGCAAGATCAGACGTAGACCTTTGCAACAGACCCGCATCACCTGCTCCGGAGACAAACCCTTGCCGAACAAATATGCGAGCTTTGCACAGGTAGCCTTCAGCAGTTGTCAAGGAGAAACGCTAGTGTAGAAGAACAAGACCTCAGTCGTCATGTCCAGCGCAGGCACAATACCAACACGGTTGAGGGCATCATTGACAGCATAGGAGCCGACTGCGACAGACCCGCTAGCACATTGCGACGTGACGACCACGATACAGCCCTTCTCTTTGGCAAGGGAAAGCGCACGGAAGAGGTTGGGGTCGCGGCTACTGACGTTGCCTCCGCCAAAGAGCTCCAGGACGATGGCTCGACACGTTTCAGTGCCAGCGGATGCGAGACGGAGGATGGAGTCGATGTCGAAGGTGGGAACCATCTTGATGACCACCATCCTTGTCGACATGTTTTCGTGCACTCTAAACCTTCCCTTGGGGATCGGAAGAACCAAGTTGTGCTTGAGGTGTAGTGAGATCCCGAGAGTGGCAAGCGGAGGAAAGTTGGGGCTGACAAAGGCTCGCAGACTCCCTGAGTCTCCTTTCCTACAGCGATTTGCTCGAAAGAGCTTGTTGTCGAAGAAGGTGCAGACCTCCGGGACCTCAAGCGACGCGGCGAGAGAGATGGAAGTCAGCAGATTTCTTTTCGCGTCGCTGAAAGGCTGCATAATATCCAATTAGTCACTAGATCAAGCACCCAAACTCTTTCACCTGGTTCAGCGGGATTTGTGCTCCTGTTAGTATAACTGTCTTGCCTGTTGCGCAATGTCAATAGATGTTCGCATGTTTGTCGTGATGCTCCACCAAGATTTTCCAACATGAAAGACAAAGCCGAACCAGTATATGCCAGAGTGTCTGTTCCCATTACCACGACGAACCCGTCATACGTGAGATAGTGCTCTCCAATCATGCACGCTATCGTCGTCCAGTGTCTGTCCGTTATGTCCGGACCATCCACGAGAGGACGAAACTCCTTCACGTCAACGCGCGTGCCCATGCGGTGCAAGCTCAGCAGGTCGTGTATAAGCATGCTTGGAGTGTCATTCTCATTCACAAATTCCCCATTTTCATCCATACGCGACCTGCAAGGAAGCTCGGTTACTCCTTGAGCCGGCTCGAGCAGCACTGACCCCATCTGACCGCCTGTGAAGACAACGAGGACGGATGCTGAGCTCTCATGCTCCAGACACAACGGCATGGACCCTTTACCGACTTTCTCGGCCATCAATCATCAGTGCAGCAGAGACCTCTTGCATCTGCACCTTGCGACAAACCCTCGTCCCGTTGTCCTCCAGAGGCAACCATGTGATCTGTTTGTCAGCTGCTCTGGCCTGACGAGGCCCCGCTTATTCGTCTGATCAGCTAACACTATCTTGTATCAGCTCCTCCTATCTGTTTTATCAGCTCCTCTTCTCCCATCTCTCATCTCAGCTCCTCTCCTCCAATCTCTGTTATCAGCTTTTCTCCCATCTCGGATTCCAGTAGCTCTGAGGTTGGCTCGGATAGGGAGCGGAGGAGGGCAGGACGGAAGGAGGGCAGGACAGAAGGAGGAGAGGGCAGGAAGAAGAGGGGAGGCAGGAGGGAGGAGAACGGGTAGGAGGGAGGAGAGATGAGGGAGGAGAGATGAGGGAGGAGGGAGAAGGGAGGAGGGGGGGCGGTGCCGATGGAAGATGGAGGGAGGAGGGAGGAGGGAGGAGGGAGGAGGGAGGAGGGAGGAGGGAGGAGGGAGGAGGGAGGAGGGTCGGGGGAAGAGGATTAGGTGTGGTGTGTTTGTCGGTAGGGGCTGCGGGAGGAGGTCCCCGGAGAACTGATGCTTGATGTCGGAGATAGG